TGAGATGCTCACCTTCCTGGCACGATCGCTGAAGACAATGGGTGCACAAGCAACTGTGGTGAAGAAAACTGATGGTGCCCACCTACGAAAAGATATAGCATCTGGGGTCTTAAAGGCTTGAAGGTAAACAAGCGGCCATCTAGCTGAGAAACAACAAAACCCACACGGAAGAAGCACACCAGCCTGTCCTGACTCAATCACTGAGGACAAAGTGGGTGCATAAGAAGAGTGCTGAAGAAAGCTGATGGTACCCGGCTATCAATAGATATAGTGTCTGGGGTCTTAAAGGCTTGAAGATAAACAGGTGGCCATCTATCTAGCTAAGAAACAACAAAGCCCACATGGAAGAAGTACACCAGCCTACCCTGACAGGAATGCTGAAGACAAAGCAGATGCATAAGCAAATGCGGTGAAGAAAGCTGACGGTGCCCGGCTGCCAAAAGATATAGAATCTGGGGTCCTATAGGCTGGAAGATAAATAAGGGGCCATCTCATTGAGAAACAACAAAGCCCATATGGAAGAAGCACACCAGCCTGTGAGTTCACAAGGTGTCGAAGGGATCAGGGATCAGGCATCAAAGAACAACAACAACAAAATCATAGCATTGTGAATGAGGGGAGTGCAGAGTGGGGAGCCAGAGCCCATCTGTGCGCAATTGGACATCCCCTTGTAGAAGGGCTGCGGGGAGAAGATGAGCCAGTCAGGGTGTAGTGTAGCAGTGATGAAATATACAAATTTCCACTAATTTTGAATGCTTCCCCCCCCCCCACTATCATGATGCCAATTGTACCTTACATATTCGGCTGGGCCGGAGGATATACACTGGCACAGATAGGAACTGGAAATATAGGGAATCCAGGACAGATGAACCCCTCAGGACCAGTGGTGAGAGTGACAATATTGGGAAGGTGGAGGGAAGGTGAGAGAGAAAGAGGGAACAGATTACAAGGTCTACATATAACCTCCTCCCTGACGGATGGACAGCGGAGAAGTGGGTGAGGGGAGACGTCGGATGGTGTAAGATATGACAAAATAATAATAATTTATAAATTATCAAAAGTTCAGGGGGCAGGGGGGAGCGGGGAGGGAGGAGAAAAATACACACACAAATATTTATATATATCATGTATATATATATACATATATATATATATATCAATCAACTGTGTATTATAATCTTACATAGTGAAAAACCTCTGATGGCACAGTAGTTAGGCATTCAGCTATTAACTGAAAAGTTGGTGATTGAAACCCACCCAATGCCTCCCTGGGAAAAAGATTTAGTAATCTGCTTCCTTAACGACTCCAATCAAGAAAATTCCAAGGACATGTCCACACTGTGACATGGGATTACTTTTGGTTGGGCAATAAGGCAATGACATCTAACTCTATGGTCTATATTATAGGTCTGTGTTTACATATATGTCTATATGATGCACCTTGGATGTGGTGAAATACAGTAATTGATACACTTTTTATGGATTATTGTTTCTGTTTTATTATTGTCTGTGCTTATGGCAGGTTGAAACTCTGGCTGCATCTGTATCCCAGTCCCCAAGGACAGCCTCCTTGTATTCCCATGATGAGTGCCCTGGTGAGCACTTTTGGAAATGAAGGTATCCAGGAAATTTCAAAGCATTACCTCATCACAAATGATTATGGCACCATCGAAGCAAACTACTATTCCCACTACGACTCTTGACCCAGACACACATTTTCATGCAGTCTTGTCTTGAGGCCTCTGTTTCTCTGTGGCTCTTGGACTTGAGGAGGCCAAGGAAAAAGACAGCACTCCCAGTATGGCCAGCCATTCCATGGGTCCACAGAAAGAGCCCTGAGGACTATCAGCCCCTTAACCCACGTCACTGGAGTCTTGCTAGACTTGACATGACAATGCCCCAAGGAGCATTTAACTCCTTGAACCAAGGAATGTCTTGAAAGGAACAGAGGAATAAAAAGTCCAGAAATACTCTTTGGATTGGTTGGTTGTTTTTTTTTGACAAGGCCGGGGATAGAACAGCACCCAAATGTTCCTTCCTTGCATTTGGGGGAAGTTCAGAGGCATTTCTCTGCCTGGAGGGAAACAAACAAACAAACAAACAAACAAGCCTGACCTCACCACATACACCTTGTCCGACACTGCCTAGGAATATATATTCCCTGGCGCTCCAGTGTGGGTGTCTTCTTTTGACAGCTCTCCTCCCTCAGACAATGAGCTTGTCCTGACAGGGAAGACACGTCAGCAAGGCCAAGTCTCAGCCGAAGGGGTCAAGTGCACCTTCCCCTGGCTGCCTCTGCACCTTCAATCATCAAATAACCCAAGTCTCCTTAGTTGAGTCACATGGGTAGTTCCATCTCCCTGTTTCTTCACTGCCCCTTCCTACACCAACTTGACATTTGTGTTTGCCGCTTCTTCCAATTCCTTAGAGCGCTGTCTTCCACCTTCTCTTCTTTGCAATGCCTTCAGGCAATACTGCATGGCTATTCTCTGCATCTGAAGCTAGACAACTCCTGTAACTCCTTGCAGTCCCGGACCCATTTCTGCCTTGAATAAAAGTAGTGAGTCCTGGTGGCACCGTGGGGAACATGCTTGGCTTTTAATAAAGGTAGGTAACCCAGGCCCCGTCGCTATGGTACAGGGAAAAGATGTGGTGGCTCTGGGCACCATACAGCCAAGTGGGTCACTGTGAGTAGGACTCCACTCAAAGTCCAAGCAACGACATAAGCATGTCTGAATCCTTACAAATTTGTCTTTTCTGATCATTAAAGTTAATTACTGAGGCTGATTCCACTTCACTCTTTACTCAATCGACAGGTTGGAACAGGGTGGTTACTCACCAGCACTTGCTGAATACTATTGATATAAGTATATGAACATACTTGCTTATTTGGGGAATGGGACACAAGAAATATATTGTAGTCATATGCTAGAATTGTAGGGACTGGATGAAAAGAATAGACGGAAGCTAAACTTAGGAACTGAGTGAAAGAAGCAAGTACCAACATATAAAAATGGAACTCTTCACATGTAAGTGAGAAGGATGAAACTATAAATCAATGACATATTGTTATATTTGTACAAGGAGGATTCAAAAAGTTTACAGAAAAGTGGAGTTAAAAGATAAAGGAATTTTACCACAGAATTTTGAAGCCCCCTCATACATTTCCATATACATATGGAAATGGACTAGATTGATATATAAATTATTCATAATTGTCATTGCCTCAGGGCAAGAGGGAGTAGGCTAGGAGATGATGCCCACAGAGATTTCCACTTAATCTCTGGCTTTTCATTTTCTTTCCTCTTTTAAAGACTGAAGAGAAATATACTCAATGATTCAGTGTTACAGGAATATAATTGTTTGTTATTATTTGTACTTGGTATAGTTGTAAATTTAAACTTTATATATGTATATATTTCCTCTCTTGATTGCATAAGGCAAGATCTCTTCTTTTTTATTATCACAAAATGCTGGAAAAGCATTATTATTATTATTGTGCTGTTCACACTTATTATATGTATACCTTGTGGTATACATAGGGTGTATGTGTACCATACTACATGGATGGATGTGCTTATTGTTGGTATTTTCTACAAGATGGTAAACGGTCTGGTATTTGACCTGCCAAACTATTTTCAGTTCCTAGATCAACATCTGCCCTATCCTAAGCTCTAAAAGAAACAACTGCTGAATCTACAAAAAGTTCTGAACCATCCCATGTGCCTATCCACCTGTTATATGCACCAATGACCTACATGTTTGGAAATAGGTCACTGTTTAGTCAAGGCTCCTTCACTGATCTTGAACAACAGATTACTAACGCACTCCTGAAATGCAAGGAGATTGACAGCTACAAGGGGGCAGTTTTCTATAGAGAGAGGGAAGCAGTAGAGAGTCTGGAAAGGGGTGGGGAGAGCAGGAGGGCATCGGTGGTGGATAGAATAATGAGACAAGGAAAAGGTCTTCCAGAGACTCCTCTGCCACTTCAGGTACCTCTCCCAGAGCACAGGAGCGACCCCTTCCCAGCTGTAGACAGCAGCTTCTTCAGGGAAAGGCACGGATTATTCCCTGATGACTCCCAAGAAGCGAAAGAGGAGAAAAAGCAGAGGTGCGGAAATAGGGACAGCTGGAAACCTGACAGATGTAAGTACACTCATGTTTGGTGACGCTGATTAGCACTGAAGTAGTAGGCTACAGCATGGGCTACTGCCCACTGATTTAATATTTTCTAAGATGCACGGACTGTGCTTTGATCTTTGTAGGTGGTAACTTTTTTCTTTTATCCTCATATCCATTTATATGCCAACACCAAGAGCTCAGAGAGCTCTTTTTCCTGTGATCATGCAGACAGGGACACAGTGAGCACCAGGCGACGGTCTGTATTACTGCAGAGATAGCGTACCCACTACTACTTGGAACTGTCTGTAAGTACCACCCACTGCGTCTGCAAGCACCACCCACTGCTTAATGGTGACGCACAGTATTCTCCTTCTTCCTGAATACCAGAGGCTTTTCAATGATGGCTCACTCTATTCATTTATTGGATTCCTGAAAATGTAAAGGCTTATCGGGTCAGTGGGGATCTTGTTGATCAATATACTCCTGCTGTGATGTATGACCAGCTATTGATTTATAGTTAACTGTCCACAGTAGACCAGCTATTTATTTTCCAGAAGGTCCTATAGAAGACAGATCCCCAGGAAGCCCATGTGCTTTCCAAACTGCTAAGGAGAGCTAGATCACTACAAATGGTGCATCTAAAACCAGCCAACTGACAATCCTGAGCTTGCCCTTGATTGTTAGCAATCTTTCGGCCCTCACACATGTATTCCCCACTCTTTTTTTTTTTTTTCTATATTAAGGTCCCAGTGTCAACTTTTGTAGCAGCAATCAACAGAGATATAATTTTTTTTTTCATTTGGGGGGGAAGATTGGACTTTTCCAAGAGATGAAGTATATTTCCCAAATAATGTATGCATCGCAGAGGGAGAGTTTACTTTTGGCCGGTTCAAGCAACACGGCACGGAGAGGAGCTAGTCGTTTTCCTATGTTCTCTATGCAGTCATTAATGACTTGTCCATGATCTCCTAGAAAAAAAAAAGAGGAAAACAGAAAGGAATGAAAATGAACACAAAGGCATGGCATGAAGAAAAGAGGGAAAAAGAAAACCATGAAGGGAGGAAGAAATAACAAACTCTCCCTCATTTCCACCTTCACCTGCTAGAATGTCTACACCGAAACCTGCTGTGGGGAAATGTGACAGCTCTTCTTCTCAGCGACAGACAGATGTAACTGAAAAAAGAAGCACAGTTGGTTTTCCAAAAAGAAATAGACACCAAGACCTTACCGAGTCTCCTTCGTGTTTTACTTTTCTTTTCATTACAAAAGCCTTACACGGTGTATACAACACTTAGCAACGATATAGAATCCAAGAAGTTTAGAACAGAAAAGATATTTTGAGAACATCTGCCTAAATGCCCATTCCCTCTTCAGATATTGTAGCCAAATAGATTAGACAAATTGCAAGCCAAATACTTCCTTGATCCCAAGGTGAGCTTTTTTGCCTACAATATTGAATTTTATCTTCATATATGCTTTTTCCTCTGTGAAATGTCTTCATTTCTGATCTCAATACTGTTACTTTCAGGCTTGTCCCACTCATTTCTCATTTCCACACAAAGACCTGAGAGACTGAGCTCAGAATCCAGGCTCAAATGGACACCGGGATTAGGGCATAGATACTAATGGTCCTAGGGGCCCAATGGGCTCCTTCTTGGGTTTCTATGCCAACTAGAGATATCCAGAAGTGCAAATCTCATTGGCATGACATTTCTTCTAAAGGATGTTATTTATACAGTTTCTAGAACTCCATCTGCACTTTCCTGTGGGACCCTGTACAACTCCTTTAAACTAACTTAGCTGGAGTGTTCTCATCTCGTACATGACAAAAATAGCAGCCTGATCTTATAACTTCCTCGATGGAATGGAATCACTAACGATGTGCTGATAAATATTGTAACAGTCAGCTTACCGGGGGTAGAGTGGGGGCTCTTTTAGTGCCTGCCAGTTTCTGTGGTATAAATACTCCTGCCACATTCGTTTTCAAACTACCCAAGTGATGTCACAAGGACCGATGTGGGAAGAGAAGTGAACACTTGAGTCCAATGAGCTTACAGAATTCGACTCCAGCAAACTCCAACACAACACGAGTAACACACCAGCTGTTCTTGCTTTCAAACGCTCCCTCACACGGTCCATGGAAAATGGAATGTCTTTTGTTTTCTCCCTACACATCTCAGATCGATTCAGACTTCAAGGATTAGCTCTAATAACAACTTCCTCCTCCATAAATGTTTATGGCATGTTTTAAATCAGAATCAATCCTCTTTTGTGCATGCCTCTCCTTAACACATAACGCAGTCCCCTCAGATGTATTTGTTGTTTACAAACCTGTTGCTCCTCCCCTAGCACCTACCACCTGCGCTATGTTCTCCAGCCAGTGCAAGCAAAAGACCTGAACATAGTCGAGCTTTGCTTGTTGCTCATTGAATATATTAGTGATGGAAATGACTGTGAAATAAACATGACAGGGCTCTATCCAGTAGTACTTCTCCCAATCAACTGAGAATGCCATGAAGATAGAACAGTGCTTAATTCACACTTAGGTCCTTACAAATCAACGTGTGCCACTGGCATCCAGCTCCGGATCCACCTATAGAATTCTAGCGCAGTCCCCTTCTCCTGCTGCCTGAGGAACTTGGATTTGTCGCTGAATGTTAGATCAGGGACACAGGGAGCCCTGGTTATCTAGCACTAGATGGCAAGACAGGACGGAGGATCACACAGCCAAGAGATGCAGCTAGTCTTTTAGCTAAACACGTGGGATGAAGAACCACGCCTTTCCATCGACGGCAGACAGATGTTGAAGAGAGGGCTGAGGCTGCAGGCTGGACCATGAGGAGGAATGTCCAGTGTCAACATGAATTGGAGCCTGAATGTCAAAGGCTGCAAAGGTGCCTCTGTAGACAATAAGCCTGACAGGGTCACCGCTCAGATGACACCTTTCCCGAAAGGCAGAGCTCTCAAGCTGGAAAGAGCACCCGAATGGATCAGCTATTATTTAGAATTCGTGCTGCTACTCCAGCTGAGAGATCAAAATGGTGAATGAATGTTCCTTATCATCTCTCATCCTGTATTGATCATTCACTGAACTGAACCCTCTTTTTCGTCATACGGTTGCTACTTGAATCAAAGTTAAAATTGGATCCCTCAAGGCTTCCTGGGTGTACATCAGAAAGCAAAACTGAAACTTTAGGAGAATTTAGGGCAAGACAAATATCAACGGGTGCATCACATGCTTCCAAAAATGAATGACCAACAGGCATTGCCACAAGAGGACAACCTCTTCCATTTTTTCCTACAAAGGAGATAAAACGGAAGCCAAAGGGGAAGCTGCCCCTTTGGCAGCTCCGTCATTTATAGGGTCAGTGCTAATGCATATGATTTTCACAGTTTTTCCAAGCCACTTTCTCAACAAATTTCTGCCAGTGTTCACCTAATTTTTAATGGACTTGGCCATTGAACTAGTTCACTGCTTCTAGCGGGTGCACACAAGTCCGGAGAATTGATAAGGATGCAGCCCAAGGGAGTTCAAAGATGCTGTCTGCTTGGTTCCACTGGCAGACACTTCTCTCTACCTCAGCCCAAACTGCCACCAATATCCATCCCCTGCAGAGCCCTGTAAACAGCTTCCTGGGAAATCAAGTCAGACACACCAGTGTGAGTGATTTCTTCACACATCATCCTCGCCTCCTTTCATGCTCTCCCTACCTTCTGATAAGTTCAAACCAATAGACGCTTTTGGCAAACCCAAGGGGCATATTTCCCAACAGGTAGGAGCTCCTTTGTCATTATCAGGGGTATGGAGATGGAACCATTGGCCAGTCCCAGAGGAGAAAAGGAGGGGCAGTGCATCCTGGACACGTCACCCCTATCCCCAAAGTCCTGGAACTTGACCTGCACCTCTTCTAATTTCTGACCTCTCCTGTGAGAGGAGAGGTGGTAGGGAAACAATGATCAAATGCTTTGATCCATTCGCTTTCAAATTGGCTTGCAGACAAAGACAGGATTCTGTCTGTGGCCAAGGCTAAGTCTATGTCTGTTTACTTAAATCTCCAAACTATTAACCAGCTACCAAGGAATGGTTTTGTGATCCTCGTAGGTGGGAACACTGCAGCCAGGCTTGGGAGACCACAGGCTTGTAGGCATGACATACTCATGTTAGGCTCATGTGCATTCAGGAAGAAAGGGACATTTTTAGGAGAACACATATCAAGGGCCATAACAGAAACAAAACCCATTGCCACAGAGTTGATTCTGACTTATAGCGTGTGGCCAAGAATCACAGGCTGGTTCTAATGGATGTCCCCAGGGATAGAAAATGGCCTCCAACCCTAATATTTTACAAGTTCTTCTATCCACAACTTTAAGACTAAAACTTTAATGGATGTGTACGTGTGATATATTCTTGGTCAAAAGCTACTAACATTTTCCAGAGATGGTCCCCTAGAAATCATCTGAATGTACCTATTCTCATTGGGTCAACATTTTGAAGATCTGGTAGAAAATCATATCTGGAGTCTTTTCAAAAGGCTCAGATACCCCTTCTCAAATGATAGCCCTGCAGTGAGCTTCTGTCCAACAGCCTGGAGACACTGATTTCTTTCCTTTGATGAGACTCTCCACACATCTATAAAACATTCTCCCTTTGTCTTAGCATTGACATATCCTTCCGGTGTAGATAAAATACTCCAATTTGAATGGTTTCGATGAGTCGCCATTTTCAATTTCTGATGGAATATTCTAATTTCTCTTTTATCTCTAAGCACAGCAAGGAAATAGCTTATGTGAAAGGAAGTTCTCCCTAGATCATTGTACAAAAATTCAGATTAAAAAACGTATTCATGTAAAAGAAAGTAGGCTCAAAGTGAGCAGGAAGCATTTCCTCTGTGTCATATTTGTTCTCGGCATCTTATGAATTTTGGGGAAAGATGCTTAATACAGCAGTGGGTTTGTCACACAGGGAGTTAAATTCTCGTTAAGAATTATGAGATGAAACACAAGATGAAACACAAGGTCTCATTGATTTCTCATAGTCAGAATAGAACACGAGTCAGGAAGAAAGATTCATAGAGAAAGACTTATGAACAATGTGTGCGTGCTGCACAGCCAGGAAGGGACTGGAATGAAGATTCTGTTAGTATGTTCTCACTAAACTGTAGACAAGTAAATTGTATCACTAAAAGCAATTACCTTTATAAATGTAATAAGTCTCTGTTTAAACAGAATGAACCTGTTTTTCTTCTACCTGGAGTCACATTGTAATTTCTTTCTATGTCACAGAGTGAGCATGCTTTATTTTCTGCCTATCCAAATAGACAAGGTGCATATTTCTAGTGGCCAACTTGGGACAGTTCTTTCGGTCACTTGTTGCCTAGCACAATGGGAAGAGTTGTGCATGTTTGTCTAACCACAGTGAGAGAACCAGGCCCCTTACATCAAAACGCGGCTGGGAAGCTATGGAAAACCAGACTAGCAGAGAGTTTTTGAGCTTCTTGGAGAGAGGTGTTATCTGAATCAAAACCTGTGAAAAGAAGAAGAGCTCTAACATTTCCTGACAGTAAGAACCTATTGTGTTGTAAAATCGTTTCTAAAGGGTAGAGTGTTCAAGACATTTATCAAATTTAGGGGAACAAGACAAACCAAGGTGTTAGAAACCATTGGAAATAATGCAATCCCCACCAGGACAAAGACAATAATTTCTCACTAATTTCCATGGCTTCATGCTATAAGAATAGTCAGAGTAACACCGAGAGACATTTCATAGACCTAAAATCCTACATTCACCAGAGAATTGAATTACCAAAGTTGCTTCCAGTCAAGACAGATAATTTTACCACGGTGAATCTTTGTCTCCTTCTGCAGGTATAGCGACGAAAAGAGTTAAGCAAAGTTCAAAGGCTCAATGCCCTGTACGCTTCAGGGAAGGATCAGAAATAGCAGGGGAGGAAAAGTGAGAAAGCATAAT